GAGAGAGAGAGAGAGAGAGAGAGAGAGTGAGTGTGTGAGTGTGTGTGTGTTTGTGTGTAAGTGCGTTAGTGTGTGTTCATTTCCTGTTATCCATTTTTTAAATGTCTTCCTGTTTTTCAACAGCGGGGATTCCAGTCCTTTATACATTCTTCCCTCAGGGATTTTACTCAGCTGTCAAAATATGTGCCCACAGGCAAAATGTATACGATTTTATCATATTATTACAGTGCTATGCTTGTTGACTCACACTGTTTAATCGTGCGCTAATGTTTATGTCAATGGAAACTTGCTGATGACTTGTATTTTTTTTTCTTATGCAAATGCACTCACACTTGGCAGAGTTTCTTAAATTATCATGACGGCAATGACGGGTTATGGATACTTGACATAAACGCATAAGGCTAACATTACAACTGGATTTCTATCCACTAGTTTGTGCTTGAACATGGCAAGTAGGTGCTGGCTCACTCAACAATAAATAGTTAGAATCGGCGCAAAACAAACAAACTTGCTGCTTTTGTTTTTCCCATCGCCTCATTGTTGTCATTTTTTGGATTTGAAGAAAAGGACGACAGTTTAGTAGAGACAACATTTCATCTGCTGCTTCTCCCGCCGCCGTCTCGTTGCAATAGTCGATTAACCGATTCTGTGCTGATAAGACTACCCTACCCCCTCCCCAGCATCGCTCACCCTTCCCTTCGTCCACCTCATCCCTTTCTGCTCTAACATTTGCTCGCATTACTTGTCGCTTTCTGCTCACCTTCGTGTCCGCTCTCTAAGCGTCACCGAAAAAAGCTTCCTCGCTTGCCTAACGTTTGCTTCGAGCTCTCACTCACACACTGCCAAAAGTAACTTGGACATGGGACTACTGAAACATCTTAGTTGTGAACGTGTTATTGTTAGCACGACCCCCTTTTTTCTTTGCCTATTTCTCTTGGAACGACTGTTACCCTCTGAAGAAGGAGCCCGTGAAAGCTCCCGTTGCCATCGTTAAAGGTGTCAGGAACAACGAGCAGGACGCTGGAAAACCTGCTAAGATCGTGCAGAGCGTTGAGGTAACTACAGACACTTCAGTTCACACAGTAAAGCTAACATGTCAGATATACTCGCCGTCACCGAGATAAAACTAGATTTCTCAAACTTACCCATTTGAACATTCATAGTCTGGAGAAATAATCCGAGGGCGTCTTTCACTTCCCGACTCAAGCTTACTCTGGTGCGAGTAATGTGTACAAATTACAGAAACATTAGCATTTCTACCAAAATGAAATGTAGTTTGATTATATTTTTCAGTTTCCTCTTTGCACTCATTTTTTTGACAAACAGTCTCGACATACCTTTAGTGATCATTTTTTTGGAAGCTGCACTTGCGGTATCATGAGTTCGATTTCCTGCTGGAGAAAATCTATTTTATCGAGTATCTCCGTATATCCGCTGCCGGTGTTGACGCTGACACGCAGGTTCCAAGTACCCTGCCGCAGTACTAATTTACATTGTCTCGATAGGGGTATAAAACATCTACAAACTAATTTATCAGTCATTGTACTAGTTTTTCCCAATAAGGAACCCTTTTCAACATAATATAAAGGTCCTGTCAACTCCACATGAATCCCTATAGATGGTTCAGAAAGAAGACATCATTCTTGTCTTTAAAAAAAAGATCTCTTTTGACGCCATAAATATCGACACTTATGTAAAGAGACATTTCTTTACGACAGACATAATTATGTGAACAACCCCAAAGTCCTTGTTGATGCAATAAATAAATATAATTATGCTAAGATCCTCAAGATCTTACTTGACCCCGAAAATAATCATAATGGTAAAATCTCCGTAAAGAAATTTCGTCTGGAAACTTTTCCAAAGCTGTCTGGAATAGGTCGAACCGGTGTCTGTGGTCTAATGGCCTACCCTTTCTCACTGCTGCCCCCAGACTAACTGAGCTTGATTCTCACTTAAAAGAAATATGTGTTATCATACTTCGACCGTCTGCTGGTACTTTGTATCTTACTCAGTCGGCGTTAGCCAACCTCCCAAAATGAATTATATTGTTGGATGTGTTGTAAGACATTTGCAATTAATCACAGATTGAACAGACAGTTGAAAAATTTAAAAAAAAAGATTCCCAACCCACAGTGGTAGCAGAGGTTGGACTGTAGAGGTTGGACTGTAGAGGTTGGACTGTAGAGGTTGGACTGTAGAGTTTGTCTGTCTGTCTGTCTGTCTGTCTGTCTGTCTGTCTGTCTGTCCGTCTGTCTGTCTGTCTGTCTGTCTGTCTGTCTGTCTGTCTGTCTGTCTGTCTGTCTCTTTCCGTCTTGACCCATGTGTTATAAGCCGTGACTCTACTTCAGTTTCGTTGTTTTGCCTTCTTGTTTCATCGACAGTCGCATTATCGCTATAATTTCTCCTCTGTTGGAGTTTACAATTATCAAATCCCGGTACCATTTCATAGTATGTCATTATGTCACGTCTCTCATTTTTGAACCAGACAGACCATTGTTTTTAACCAGAAAGCATACCTTCCCCAAGACCAACAACTACAAAGAAAAACAACAAACAATAACAACAATAACAACAACAACAAACAAACAAACAAACAAGCAAAACAGAAACGTAACGAGAAAATGTTGCTCTCAAGACGTGACCGAAAGGCTTCCTCGCTTGGTTAACGTTTGCTTAGCACTCTCACGCACACACTGCTAACAGTAACTTGGACATCGGACTACTGAAACATCTTGGATGGAAACTCTCGATTGTTAGCACGACCCCCTTTTTTCTTTGCCTATTTCTCTTGGAACGACTGTTAGCCTCTGAAGAAGGAGCCCGTGAAAGCTCCCGTTGTCAACGTTAAAGGTGTCAGGAACAACGAGCAGGACGCTGGAAAACCTGCTAAGATCGTGCAGAGCGTTGAGGTAACTACAGACACTTCAGTCCACACACACACTTATGCTAACACGCCAGATATGCGTTTCGTCACCGAGATAAAGCAAGATTTCTTAATTCCCACCCAATCGAATCATTATATTTGTTTAAAGTCTGGAGAAGTAATCCGAGAGCGTCATTCACATCAAGACGAAGCTTACCTTGACGCGCGCGAAGAATACTTAACAACGGAAATGAAAACGTTTGTCTAAGTTTTTCATTTCCTCACAGTACTCATCCCTTATGATAAATAACCGCTTCAAGTATAATTTTAGTTTTCATTGTTTTGTAAATTACACGTGTGGTGTAATAGTTGAGCTCTTGCTGAATATGTGTGTTCGTTTCTCTGCTGGGCAAGGTCTATTTTATCGAGTATGTCCCGTATATCCGCTGCCTGTATTTACACTGACACACTAATTCGAAATACCCTGCCACAATACTCGTCTAAATTATGTTGATAGGAGTGCCGAATATCTGCAAATTAATCTATCAGTTATTATACCAGTGTGTCCTGAAATGAACCTTATTCAACATAATAAAAGATATACAGAACCTGTCAAACCCACACAAGCTTCTTTGTGGCCTGTTTCAGGAAGAAGACATCGTCCTTGCATTATCCAAAAGATCTCATTTGTTGTTATAGATAGTCGTTTGCTGAGTTTCCAAGTTTTTTTGTTGATGATAGACTTAACAATGTGAAGACTCCAAGGTTCTTGTTGACCCTATAGATAGGTATACGTATCAAAAGACCCCACAAGAACTCTGCTGACGCTATAGAGAGTCAAATGCCAAAATGCCACAGCCCTACTGGAATATCCTCCAGAAACCTCTTTCGAAGCAGCTTAGTAAAGGTTGGACCGGTGTCTGTGGACTAATGAGCTCTTCACCACTCAACGCAAATCTAGTGTGTTCCATCCTAACCTGGAGGAGGCTCTTTTATCAAGTATATTCGTCCTAATGCTGGGACGCTGTATCCTTCAAAGTCGGCGTTAGTTCTGTCCGTCACTGTCGAAGTAACCAACCTCCGAAATGATTTATATTAAGTTGGATTTGGTATCAGACATTTGCAATCAATCACAGATGGAGCAGATCGTAGAAAAAAAACAACCGATTCTCAACCTGTGGTAGTAATATTATAGGGTGGAAAGTACAGCTTGATTGTCTGTCTGTCTGTCTGTTTTTAATCTACCCCATGCATTATAGCACCTGCTCTACTTAAGTTTCGTTGTGTTGTAGTTATTTTTACTATCGACAATCTGGTCATCTTTGTTGGAGTTTACAACCATTAGATCCCGTCACAAACTAATAATTATGTCAAAATGTCCCGTCTCTCATTTCTACCCCAAACATACCTAATTGCTGACAGTGGTAGTAACATTTAATTGGTTTAAATCAGTATGGATACTATCTCCCCCTCTAACCCCCCTCCCCTAAAAAAGACAAAAACAGAAACCAAACAAGCAAAACAAAAAAAAACCTAGAAAACAAAAAAGACCAACAAAATCGAACAAAACAATCCCAAACAAACAAACAAACAAACAAATAAACAAACGAACAAACACACACACACAATTGCGAGGTTGCCCTGATAAAGTCCTCTCCTTCCCCTCTGTCCTGGTCTCACCATTACCATATTGTGTTTTCTTATGTAATGTATCATCCTGTTTCGTCTCGTTACCACACCCTCAACTCTACTAAACCCGAACACAAACCTATAATCACGGAAACAAAGTGAAAAGCGAACGTGAAATTAGCCTATTCATACAATCATATCATTTATACTCATACCTGTGCCTTTCCCAGAATTTGAGAACAAAGTGTGTTTATTGTGAGACCAAGATATTTATATTAAATTGTGTGTTGATACATAATATTATGTTTGTTATATATCCAGCTTCCTACCGTTACCACACACTTAACTCTACTCAACCCAAACGCAAAAGAAAACAAGAAAACGAAGAGAAAAGCGAACTTGAAAAAGTAAACACACAATTGTATGTGCCCTAAACCGTTCCCTTCCCGAAATCGGAGTGCAAAAAAGTATTTGCTTTGTCGAGAGAAAAGCATTTCTTCTTCTTCTTCTTCTTCTTCTTCTTCTTCTTCTTCTTCTTCTTCTTCTTCTTCTTCTTCTTCTTCTTCTTCTTCTTCTTCTTCTTCTTCTTCTTCTTCTTCTTCTTTGATCATGGTGATCATGATGATGATGATGATGATGATGATGATGATGATGATGATGATGATGATGATGATGATGATGATGATGATGATGATGATGAGATGATATTAGTTTCACTAACAGTTGCTCCTGAGGAAGCCTGTCTGGCGAAACGTCGAGGCGATCCAATAAAACACATTTTAAACGTTTTATATCTATATTTTCTGTCTGTAAATCAAGCAAGACTCACCCCCCTTCTCTGCTTTTTAAATAATGATGATGATGATGATGATGATGATGATGATGATGATGATGATGATGATGATGATGATGATGATGATGATGATGATGACGGTGGTGGTGGTGATTACTATATCATTATAAGTATTATCCTTGGTCTTAATATGTATCGGTTTCCTTTTTCAGACAGCTCCCAAGTACACACTGAGAAACAATGGCGGGGGCAAAGGCTACCAACAGCAATACGAGAACGGGGGGCGTGGCAGTGGCGGACAGAAACAGCAGATTGGAAGCAACGATTATGAGGGGAATAAGTGGTTTGGCGACAACGACTACGATTATGGGCAGTCGGGGAATAACAACGGGAAGAGCAGCCACGATAACAATCAGAGGCAGGGATCCGATTCCAACCAGCGATACGGAAACAGCAACAACAACAACTACGGCTCCAAGAAGCAGTCAGGAAATAATTACGGCTCTAAACAGCAACAGCAACAACAGCAGGAGCAGTATGGAAATAACGATTACGGCTATAAACAACAAAATGGCGGAAGTGGTGACTATGGTAACAAACAACAAAGCGGTGGAAATGGTGACTATGGCTACAAGCAACAAAATGGCGGAAATGTCGACTATGGAAGCAATAATAAACAGAACGGAAATGGTGACTATGGCTTCAAGCAACAAAATGGCGGAAATGCTGACTATGGTAACAAACAGCAAAGCGGTGGAAATGGTGACTATGGAAACAAACAACAAAGCGGAAATAGTGACTATGGCTTCAAACAACAAAGTGGTGGAAACGGTGACTATGGCAACAACAAACAGTACGGAAATAGCGACTATGGTAGCAATAAACAAAATGGGAATAGTGACTATGGTAACAAACAACAACAACAACAACAACAGCAACAGCATGGCAATGGCAATGGTGACTATGGCTCCAAACAACAGCAACAACAACAATATGGTAATAACGACTACGGTTCCAAGCAACAAGGTGGCAACAACGATTACGGATCTAAGCAGCAATATGGAGGCTCTGATTATGAATCCAAGCAAAACTATGGCAACAATGATTACGACGGCAGTCAGCGATACGGAAGTGTCGACTACGACGCTAAGCAAGGAAATAACGGCAATTTTGATTACGAATCCAAACAACAAGGAAATGGAAACTATGGTCAGAAACAGGGAAATCAAGGGTAAGTGTGTGTGTGAATGTGTGTATGTGTGTGTGTGTGTGTGTGTGTGTGTGTATGTGTGAGGAGGGTGTATGTGTGTGAGGGGCGAGGGGTGTAGATGGGAAGGTTTGTAGGTAGGTGGATGGATTTGAGTGAGGGTAGTGAGGTTGGGGTTCGGGATGGAGTGGGGGGAGGGAGGTCGAAATCCGTAGGAATTCTCAAGGTATTTTGGTAAAGTGGGGCTGGGGGAAGGGGGGGGGGGCAGAAGCAGGGTAATAAGCAGTAAATGTAAGGACATTTGTTGATGAGTATTTCAGAGAAGTAGAGGTGGGGTGCTGTTGTTTGGTATTTTGATGTTGTTGGTGATGTATGGTACTTATTCTTTACTACTTCTGATTTTAAAGTTCCACGACCCATTGACATAATTTGTGAGGCAGCGTGGTGAATTCAGGCGCTCGTAAAAAAATGAAAGTAAAGAAACTAGCATTTTTTCCGTAGGTTAGGGAATTTATACATGTATCGAAATGTTTTCTTTTGGGTTCAACACCTTCATGCCCATGAAAGACCACATTTATGCTTGGATTTTTACTGATAAACGTTGATAAAAAGGCATAAAAGATACAATTTTCCCGTTTCCTCGAACTCTCAAGCTGGGGAAATAACTAAACGTTGGCGGTCATTTCTCTGTAATTTTACTTCAGAAACCAGGCGACCCTTACCTTCTTCAATCGCCAATATCTTGACTTGTATCCAAAATTAAATTGCTTTTTTTCATAAAAAGCAAGGCATATGGACAGGATTTAAGAAGATATCAATAACTCCATATGCCCCAAAACTGACGACCGCCTGATCTCACCGCGTCGTGACACATTTATATAATGTATGAGGCGGTCGGCTAAGAATCCCCTTTTCATGCCCAACCCGGGATGAGTGGGATAGAACGATACAGCAGACAGACTGAAGGTTGTTAGCCTAGTTGGTTACGTATAAGACGTCCCGGGTTCGAATCATCAATGGACACATTTTGGGCTTGTTTTGTTTGTTTAGTTTTCAAGACTTGCCACCATGTGAGCTCGGTCAGGTTGGGGATCGACTTTGAATTCGAATTCCTCTTGCCTCTTCAATAATCATACAGTATAGAAAGGGGGTTGCCGCAACAACTACCACCAACAACAGAACCACTACCAGCATTACCACCAGCACCACCACTATTTCCACCACCACCACCACTTCCACCAACAACTACTACTACAATAACAATAACAACACCATGCAATACCAGCACTACCACCAGCACCACTGCCACCATCACCAGCACGACTACCACCACAACCACCACCAATAAAAACGATAAAGCACCATGCCATACCATCACCACGACCAGCAACCCCCCCCCCCTCGCCAAAAACAAAAACAACAGCAACGGCAACAACAACACCATCAACTCCACCAACAACAACAAGAGCCGCAGAAGCAGAAAGCAGCAGCAGCAACAACAACAACAACAACAACAACAACAACAACGGAATGCCCTATTGAATTTTGCAATCTTCTCCCCAGAAACAAATATGGCGGCGAGGAAAGCTATGACAAAGATCAGACCGGAGACTCTGCCCCAGAACCGGACCAGACAGACTGCTAGTGAGTTGGAGATTTCCATTTGCCAGTTTAACAATAAGTCTTAATTAATCGCAGATCTACCAGAAAGATGCCAAACCCGCAGTAGATGCAGTGGTTGAAAAGTAGACCATGTCTGTTCACATGATATTGTACCCTGAATCAGGCCCTGTCTGTAGTTGCCACATGTCGTTTTTGCTGTCGATAGTCCCATCTTCTGTTATCTCCTCAGATAAAATGTCTCGCCTGTGCCTTTACTAAACACAGAATTAAATACATCATTTAGAAGGCAATATTGATCTTTGTGTAGTGTTTGTAACATCACGCATGAATATCTAGATTTAGTTTTAATTTTAGTAGAGGTTTTACAGAGCTCGCAACTGCATAAGGTCATATGAGCACCAAGGGGTGGATGTCAACAGAGAAGTCCTTACATGGAATCAGGCTTACTCTGCTCACCTCTCTAGCTTCAACAGCACTACGTCTGCTTCGACTATTAAGGCACCCCGGAAATAGCGTGTCAGAAGAGTGTGACAAACAAACAAATGAAGTAGAGGAAAATGACGATAGTAAGGACTAGGAAAGAAAAAGCAACAGTTCCCTGTTGCAGTTCAGGCACAGTTATGTGCATGGCATTGGTGACTCAACCCATTTACAATTCTACTGTGCATAAGAACATGTAAATGCCCCCCCCCCCAACCCACCGTCTTTGAGAATGGCCTAAAGACACTTCAGTCAGTAGCACCGCCCCAGGGGGTAAATCTACATTAATAGTTGCTGTAGATATTTTACACCCCCATCGATACGACCTTATAATTTTGGAGGCGGACTCTTTCAGCCCATACAAATTGTAACAGCCAGCAAATTGTAAAACATAAATTATATATATCTTAAACATGCTTGTAAAGACAAAATAAAACAACTGAAAATAAAACAAAAAATAGTGGGCATTGTCTCTCTTATGACAATAATATGTACAAACACACACACAACAGAGTAATCAATATACTTTTGCTTTCCCAATTTTTCAACCATTCTTTTGCTACCTCAAGCCTCCACAGACCAGCCTATGACATCACCCACTTCGAGAGATGGACAGACGGCAAGTGGGAAGAGGAAGACTGCAACTATCCCTTCTACACAGGTCTGGTGTGGAACCAGGAATCTTGCCGCTGTGAGTGGGGACCCAACAGGACCATCGCCACACCCATGTTGGAGAGTAGTGAGTTGACGAAACATTACTTTTCCTTCTCAATATTTGTTGTTTTGTAGAGGGTGGTGCTGTGGTACTCTTTTCTTGTCGTTGTTGTTGGTGGTGATTGTGTTACGGTTGCTGTTGTTTTTGTTTATGATGCTGTTGATGTTTTTATTGTGATTTTTTAAATGCTATTCTTGTCGTTGAAATGGTTGCTATTGTTCTTGATCATGGTACTGTTGTTGTTGTGGTTGTTGTTGCTGTCGTCGTTATTGTTTCTGTTGTTGTTGTTGTTGTTGTTGTTGTTGTTGTTCTTCTTCTTCTTCTTCTTCTTCTTCTTCTTCTTCTTCTTCTTCTTCTTCTT